TGTCTGTGTTCAGTTGGTAAAGTGCTGGAGGACCTGGATTCATGAGGATGGCATCATGATGTGATCTACAAAAGACAGAACTGATTCAGCATCAATCAGTTATAAACTAGTATAGGGACAGATGATTTGCAGTGACAGGATCGTGGTTGTTTATGACTGTTAGTGTTGTTTCAGTCCTGAACAAAGTCAAAACAATATTGAATTAATATTTTAAGTCAACATATAATTCTTGTTCATTTTGAGTCGTCTTTTTTGTGTGTGTGTCTCTTCCTTGAGAAGCTTGTGATTTCTCTTGTAGTTTTCTCCTGCCATCAATTACTAACTAGTCATAGGCAATATGGTAAACAATCACATTTTAGTTAAACACCTAATTATTTTGATTCTCTGAATCAAACGAGTTAATGAATACAACAATCTCTTACGCCAATCTGGGAGGAACATCCTTGCTGTTTCGTCGGTGAGGCTGAATAGTTGATGACATTGTTACTGTGAATAAGAAAACAATACATTCTCTGTTTGCATATATCAGATTATCACGTAATATAATTATGAGTAAAATATTAAATTATGAGGTTCAATTATATATTTGCTAGATCGCCAGTCTGTATTTAATTCAGCGTGCAGCCAGCAATTTCTTTGTTCTCATTACAGAATTAGCTATTTACTACCAAGTGGATAACCAATGCAATTAATAATATAAATTAATCAATATTTATCGTTTTAAAAATTGATTTATTCCAATTAAAAACATAACATAATGTTAAAACAAAACATATAAACATTAGTGTAAACATTTGATCTCACCTTGTATTCATCGACGTATACACCACACTGAAAACCTTCACAACTCATCAGTTATCTGCTAAACACAATAATTTATTACATTTATTCAGGGCCGTAACCACCATAGACATTGAAAACATACAATTAGTTTATGTTCCTCATTTTAGCTTTCAGAAGGGTGCTCTCGAGCGCCCCCTTCGTGATCGCTATGCACTTCTGCCGAACACGCACTGAGAGCGAGCTCCGCGGCAGACTTCTACCTGACAGTCAAAGCGGCATTACGTCACAAAAGTGTGGACACACAAGCTGTGGCTTAGTCCAAATACCCACACTTGCAGT